AAAAAAAAGAGTTTGCATAAATTAAAACTTACTTAAAAAGAATTTACTTTTTGAAAAGTTGAATTATAATGCAGAACTAAATATTTATTAAATGTTAAAAAAAAAAGTTATTATCTATATATTTAGACTTTGTTTTTGTCACGTTTTCTTAATTACTTTTTTAACTACAAGAGTCAGTTAAAGAATATTTGACCACACACAAAATTTTATTTTTAATGTATCAGTAATACTTTTCATATTCAACTTATCAGGTTTTAATATATATTGAAGAGTGAAGATAAAATATTCTATAAAAAAGAATTTTCATTGTAAAACTTATAAACAAAAAGCATGTTTTTTTTTTGCTTTTCATGATTATTCCATAATTATGCAATAATATTTTGTAAAACGTTTTCTAATTATAGATATACTGAATTTTTTTGTTTATACACATAAAATACTCTTTTTTATGAAATATTTTCAAGTATTATCTTCAATCATAATGTCCTAATAGAAAAGTGATTCCACTACTGAAAGAAACTGATCTGTGAAACTGAAACTGTGATCTGGATGAAGAATCTTGTAAGATTTTATGAGTTAAATAAGAAAAGAAGAACTGTTTTGCTAGAAGAATAATAACTGGAAGATAACAGAAGAATACCACTCAAAATCCTAATCGTTGGTTGCCATCTGTTCCTGGGAGAATCCATCAAATGAAGATGAGAACCAGGGATCTGTTTTTTCTGGATATTTCCGGAATTATGGATATTTTTCTTATTTTGAGGTTTTTCCTGATATCCAAAACATTTTCCATACATACAAGATTAGGTATATATTTTTAAAATATATTTGTTTTTTAAGTTTTCTCACTCGTCACATACAAAAATAAGTAAAAGTTTGAAAAGTAATTAAGAGCAAGTCAGCTAAAAGCAAAATTAATAGGGAAATGAAGAAAAATATATTTTAAATTTTACCAAAACAATTTTCCAGATTTTTAAAATATGACCATGATGATCTATGGAGAACACATAAAGCAAATTAAAAAGAAGTAACAAGTTTACGGCAAAAGAAATTAAATTTTCCACATTTATCAATTAAAGTTGTACAGGCTTAACTGGATCAAGTTCTAAAGAGGTATGATAAATGTGTAAAACAAAACAAATACAAGCGATTGAATGAAGTTTTTGAAGCCATAAAAAAAGATGGTAAATGGCCCTGCAGTTTACAAAAAAAACCTGTCCTTTGCTTTCTATCATCTTCTGATAGAAAGCAAAGGACATGTTAGTTATATAACTGGGAGGGTTGCTAGTTCAAAAAATAATCATCCATTCAAAAGAAGATATATGTCCTTGAAGCCTACTTCAACAACAGTCACAGCAACAGCAGCAATGTCAACTTCCCAATCAGAGTGTGAGGCAGAACATGCCAAAAAACAATTTACAAGTACCAGCAAGAATTATAGCAAAATCAAAACCGTTCACGCTGGTGGAATGTAGCAGCTTCAACGGTCATTAAAAAGCATTAATTTTTTCAAAATTAGTATTATTTTTGAAATTTTTATATTATTTTTTTAAATATTATGAATATTTGAAGGTCTTTATTGCCCCCTTAAAATATTTTTTATTCAAAAAAATTTTGAACCTAGTGCTTTTGTATTAGATAGAACACATTTATGGAGTGGGAGAAGATTATTACATTTTTTTTTTATATTTGTTTTTTTTTTAATTAAATTAAAAAAAAACAAATATAATATATATACATCATAGCATTCTCTGCAACAGACCTATTCATGGTACAACCGGATTTTTTTTGTGAAGGCCTACTTTTTTTCAGCAAAAAAGAATTATTTCTTTATGCTCAGACCAGATATTATGTCATGTTATATATGATATATTTTTAAATAATGGTATATAATGTAATATTAATAAACTTATATAGTCAAGGGTTATTCTAGGAAAATAATTGGGGTGGTGGTACCCATATGTCAATGCCTGCAATAAAGAAATTTTACAGAAACATTGCTGTATGTAGGGATTTTTTCTTGAAAAATACAATATTTGTTGAACAAAAAAAAAAAAAAAAGCCCTTAATTGCTGAATTTGGTCCGCGTTGTCAAAAACAATTTAAAATAGCCCCTGATTTAATTCAAAGCAAGTAATATATTTATAAAATTTAGATTTAATCATTGTGTTAAATAAATTTTGTATGTATGCTTGTCACACCAACTATCAATGTGAAAAAAAAATTAATAGATTTAGTGAAATTAATAAGATATTAATGGATTGGTTTCCAAATGATAATATTGAGCATGAAAAATGGATAAAAGCTATTCTAAACTCTAATTTTGTTGTTACCAAGTATACTGCTATCTATGGTCTCCAAATTTTGATACAGTTATAGTGCATAGAGTAAAATGTCTATCAAAAAATGCTCCTTAAGTTTAGCTGGGAGTACCTTTATCTCAGAATCCAACTTAACTACGAAAAGATCTCTAATTAGCATTAGAAGTATGTTAGATGATGAGCTTCTTAAAGGGATAAGAGGGATAAAGCTACTTTTTGTGACATTAAAAGGTTGATTAATAGCAGTGATCACCAATATCCAGTTATATTGTTTATGGTTGATGTTTATGTTTTTATACAATCTTTGCAATTTTTTAATGGAATAACTTTTTTTTTGTACTTAAAATTTATGAAAATCTTAAATTTGAAA